TCCTATGAAACGATACACCAAGATATGCATTATTTACATTATTCGGACTATTGTCCTCATCTTTTTCGCCATATTTGTTACAACGTTTCGGCCTTTGTACGCTCCGGCCTTCTTCAAGTGGTTGGAATGTCGAACTGAACCCTTTATTTCGCTCACCGGGGTAGACTGTTCTAGTTCCACGTGCCATGTTTGATGGATGTCAGTTATCAGTTATCTCCTGTTAATTCCCCTCTGAAAGTTCTCCACTGCCTTAGCCGGGTATTGAACTCACATTTTTTGGGTCCTGTCACTGGATCTAACCAACGCCTTTATCCACTGTGCCATGTGTCCTTGTAAATAATGTAAATAATACCTTATCTCAGAAATATAGACAGATCCTGACCAAGATATGCCTTAGGTTTGACAATAACTTTGTCTTAAGTGAATGGCCTTAAGTAACCCAGGGAGAAAGCTGTTCCCAGGAACATTTTTTCAGTGCAATATGTGGTGAGGGGTCTAAGAGGTTGCGTAATATACTGTAGTGTCGGGAATACGAGTTGGCTTATCTGTATCACTTCGTAATAAAGGAGGAAGTCTTGGTAGTATCTGTAATCTTCGTCCGTTTTTATCGAGTGGATTAACCACTTTGTTGAATATTTAATCACCACAAATATGAATGCTAGTTGAACGATACTCCAAAAGGATATCATCTACTCAGCTATTTTCTCGAATATTAAAGTTCTGTCATCACGTGGACAACAGAAAATGAAGATGGAGTTGGTACTGTTTGTACTAATATGTAATTTTATAATTACACACGCTGTATATATAGCATAACTTATATATATATATATATATATATATATATATATATATATATATATATATATATATATATATATATATAGTCGACTCTCCTGTCGAGATTCGACGTATGAGGGTCAAGCAGATCAGTTTCCAGAACACCGACAGCCCGACACCGGCACATGCGATTTGATTATAGTGGTGAAGGCCTCGTGCAGGACCATCCACACTTTTTGAAGGGACGAATACAGAGACCTGGTGCACTAAGTGCCACAAGGTTCCCAAACGACCCTCCGCAGGTTTTGAATTCAGAGTTGTCCTTCTCCTAGATCAGTTGCCATCCAAGGCTATAGAACCCAGTCTGTCCTGCTATTTTACCCATAGCTGGAGGGAGAGGAAGAAGATTCATACCTTTCCCAAGTAATATAATGGATTCGACTGGAATTCTGCGATTCCTCAATCCAAGCCGCTATCCATTACTCCAGATAGATAGATATATAGATATGCGTGTGTGTGTATGTTATTAATGTAAACATTATTTTTGGTTACTACATACGTTTAAGTTGAAACCTTATATAAGGTCAAAAGAGGTACATTTGTCTAGTTGTATACAGGAGACAAAATGCCAATTGATAAATTCATCTGAAGAGGCTTATAGAATGTACCAGCCAAAAAGAATCAAAATTCAATGAATGATATGTATGCACTTCTTGCCTCAGCCAAGGTTCATAGAAGGTGTAATAACAATTTGGGCAATAAGCCAATCATTGGAGGTTGATTTTTTAAGTGTCCATTCACCCCTCTTTCTCTGTGTATGATTGTAGCATGATAGTCAAGTTATTTTTTCTTATTATTTGCCTTCATGGCATGAAGATCCCTGCCTTTTCAAATGATACCATTGCTAACTAAATACTGCTAGACACAATTCTAATTCAGGTACTTGCCGGGAAAAGAAAGAAAGAAAGAAAGAAAGAAAGAAAGAAAGAAAGAAAGAAAGAAAGGAAGGAAGGAAGGAAGAAAGAAAGAAAGAAAGAAAGAACGGACTAAGGCAGATAAGGGGAGATAGATAGATAGATAGATAGATAGATAGATAGATAGATAGTCAGTCACTTCTTTGCAAAAAAAAAACATCTCTTCGCTTGGTAGCTTGTTTTTCATTTAGAATTTCAATATTTCCATCATTTATACCCGACCTAGCGCTCTGCTATGGGCCCATATTGATTATTAAGGCCATCTTCACATTTAAAACCTCTCTTACACACGTGGCAAATATACAGTGCTGTGCAAAAAAGTGACTCAGTCAAATTTCTTTAAAAAAAATCTTGTTTATCTTATTATTTTCGATAAAAAGTTGAGGTTTAAAAATGTGTGTATAAGTAAGGGAAATGATACATTGCCTGCAAATTTTCAAAGCAATTTTTAAGAAACAAAATTAATGCATGCTATTTTTTTTTGTTTTTAAGATTAATATTTACTGTGCAAAACAAAGTGACTCATTAAAAACTGTGTCATTATTTTAAAAACTTCTGGAAATCTTATTTCCATAATTTTATTCCAGAAGATTCTTAAAAATTCCAGAAGATTCTTAAAAATTCCAGAAAGTTCTAGAATTATTTTAAAGTATTTAAAAGAAACGAAATATATAATTAATTCGTGATTTGTTATGAAAAGCTATAAGCACAGACCGCAATCTGTTAAAATAGCAAAAGCTGGTAAATCCACTCGAGAAATTGAAAACAGTGTCAACGGTTGTGAATCAACTGTCTCGAGGGGTTTGAGAAGTTACAATTCCACTGAAACATTTGTCAAGGTAGACAACAGAGGTAGAAAACACAAGATCGATGAGAGATCCGGCTACAAAATCATTAGAGAAATTAACTGAAACAAGTCACTTACAAGTACAGAAATTGCTGCTACCTTGAAAAATGATCTCGAAGTGTCAACTCCTCTACTGTATGCAGAGGGTTCTTGAACGAAGGTTACAGAGCCTATTTAAAAGTTATTTTAAGCCACTGCTAATTAAAAAAAAAAATAAGGCTAACTGTTTAGTATGAGCAAACACTGAATCTGATTGGAAAATTGTTTGTCTATATTTCTGAGATAAGGTATTATGTACACTATTTACATAATTCGGTCTTCATCTTTTTCGCCATATTTACAACGTTTCGGCCGTTGTACGCTCCGGCTTTCTTCAGGTGGTTGGAATGACGAACTGAACCCTTTATTTCGTTCACTCGGGTAGACTGTTCTAGTTCCACGTGCCATGTTTAATGGATGTCTGTTATCAGTTATCTCCTGTTAATTCCCCTCTCCAAGTTCTCCACTGCCTTAACCGGGTATTGAACTCACACTGGGGTCCTGTCACTGGATCTAACTAATGCCTTTATCCACTGTGCCACTGTCCTCAAAGACACATGGTAAAGTGGATAAAGACGTTGGTTATATCCAGTGACAGGACCCAAAGAGTGTGAGTTTAATACCTGGTTAAGGCAGTGGAGAACTTGGAGAGGTGAATTAACAGTAGATAACTGATAACTGACATCCATTAGACATGGCACGTGGAACTAGAACAGTCTACTCCAGTGAGCGAAATAAAGTATTCAGTTCGACATTCAAACCACCTGAAGAAGGCCGTGGTGTACAACGGCCGAAACGTTGTAATAAATATGGTGACAAAGATGATGACAATAGTCCGAATAATGTAAATAGTGGAAAATTGTTCTTTTTCTGTGACGAGACAAAAATTGAAATGTTTTCAAAAGATAAAAGGACAAAAATCAGACTGAGGAGCAAAGAGAACCCTTCGAAAATGACAATTGATACCGTGAAGCATCCTATCTATTTTATGCTTTGGGTTTGCCTCTCATTCAATGGATTTTTCAAACCAGTAGACGAAACGCTGAACAGAACTCAATACTCAAAAAATATTGGACACCTGCTTACAGCCATCTGCCGAAAAACTCGAAATTAATCAATCAAATCTCATTTTTATGCAAGACAATGTTCGCTGCCACATATCAGAGCAGATGAAAAATTACTTTTCAAGAAATATGTCAATGTTATGGTTTGGCTAACACAGTCTCCTGACCTAAAACCAATCGAGAATTTATGGAGCGTAATAAATTTGAGACTAACGAAGAAAATCATTTAAAGTAAAGATGCTTTCGTTGATAATTTTATTGTGGAGTGGAACAGTTTGCTACGAGATGACATCTGCAAAAATCTCATTAAGAGTATGCTGGACAGAGTCAACAATGTTCTAAAAAACAAAGGCGGAAGCATAAATTACTAATTTTTCCTTTGTGTTTTTATTTTACTAAACTTTATTTTTTAAGAAATTATTAGATTAACTTTGTATATATTAATACAGTATAAAAAGTGAGTAAAGTTTGTCTATGTTACTTATATCAGAAACTTACCTCTCCCTGTGTACAATCATGCGACGTTTGAGTCCCACAACAGACTTGCAAACCTTGTCACAAAACTCCCACAAGTAACCCTCCTCATCTTCCTAGGCTGTGTTGCATTTACTAGAGTTTGCATCTGACCTCTCTCGTAAGATCTCACGTGACTCGCTAAAGCAACCATCGACAGGGTAACTTTCCTATAAGTACTGCAAGTGTGTTGGTGTCCTAATAGCTATGGGACGGATTCTATTTCAACCATTCCTAGAGGCATGTATTTTTTTTAGGGCGGGGGGGGGTGGAATCTGCAATTCTCTTCGGCTCAAAAATTGTTGCAGCATTCCGAAATCAATTTTCTCCAGCCCGATTTAACTGCAGCAACAGTTTCCCAATCTTAAATATTAACACCAAGAGTCTTCAGTTTACATTTAATTACATACTTGAATGTAGTAGGGAGGGACTTTGAGGGGGTCGATTACCTTGTAGATACATACACACCTGCATACATATGAACCATTTGATTCATTGAGTCATTCATTCATTTTCTACGGCTTATAAAGACTTTTTCAAGGTTATTTAAAGCCAGAACATGTTTTTAGATTGTAACGAGTTTTTTACATAATAATAATTTAGGAATACAAGTCATAGTAATTGACTCATTGCTGGGGGTGTGGGGAGAAGAGATGAATTCATAACTTTCCAAATAATATTTGTACATAAGAGAATATAACGAACCCAACTGGAATTGGAACTCGATTCTCCGATTAACAATTTCGAACCCTGATCTATTACACAATGCACATATGCAAGCTTAACGGCACCTAGTATTCTCAAGCGGTCAGCCATCTAGTTACTGACCAGGCTCGATGTTGCTTAACTTCGGAGGTCGTACGGGAACCAGTGTTTCTACGTGATGTGATAGTAAGTCTTGAACCATTTTAGATAGATAGATAGATAGATAGATAGATAGATAGATAGATAGATAGATAGATAGATATTGAGACAGACAGACATTAAGATAGATAGATAGATATTGAGACAGACAGACATTAAGATAGATAGATAGATAGATAGATAGATAGATAGATATTGAGACAGACATTAAGATAGATAGATAGATAGATAGATAGATAGATAGATAGATAGATAGATAGATATTGAGGCAGACAGACATTAAGATAAATCGATAGACAGAGAAACAGATATTGAGTATTGACACAGACAGACATTCAGATAGATAGATATATAGATAGGCATTCCGACAGACAGACACACACATATATATATATATATATATATATATATATATATATATATATATATATATATATATATATATATATATATATATGCAATGATAGACTTAGGATATAATATCACTATTGCTTGTTTAGCTATGCTATTTTCTTGCTTACAACCCTATCTGTCTATCTTTTTGTCTCTCTGTCTATTTCTCATCGTGTAATGACACCTTTAGATCAAGATAACTGGAAATTACAATTATGTTATATATACTTGAAATTCAAACCTCTCCTAAGAATGTTAAAACTTAACCTAGAATATGAAATTTCAAGGAGGATATAGATCCAGTGGCAGCTTTATGTCAAAAGACAGACCAAAATTATTATTAATTAAAGAATATCAAAAACTTAAATTCCCATAGGTAATAATTCTAATTTCATGAGAACTATAAAAAAGCAGCTCGCAACCTTCAAGACCTACAAACAAAGGTATTGAAGATTGAGAGCTGCTTTTTTATAGCTAGCATGAAATAAGAATTATTATCTATAGGATTTTAAGTGTTTGATATTCTTTAATTTATATTATTATTATTATTATTATTATTATTAATCATAATAATAATAAATAATTAAATAAATATATATATGTGTGTGTGTGTGTGTAATTTTTCCTCGCCGGTAGAACAACTCTGAGTGTAATGCTTGATGCAATCGTCAAGTACGGAATGGAATCTCACGGTTGTAAAATTAATATTATTTATATTTCTATTTCACTTTTTTTCCTTAATTGATTGAGTTACTCATTTAAAGTGTTTTCAACACTTTGCAGATTATTTGAAGCAAGAAAATATTTTTAGATTCTTAACTTATTGCAGGATGAAACAATAATGATTTTAGTGATATATCTTACTAGTTATAATTAACCCATATCCGGGGCGGGGGATAGGAATGAATCCATACCTTTTCGAATTGTATTTGTCTGTAGGTGAATACAACAAACTGAACTGGAATTGCAACTCGGCTCTCCGATTAACCAATTTCTTTTCATTATCCATTTCAACAGCCCACATCCAACCAAGAAGTATTCACAAATGGTCATTCATCTTATGACCAGGCTAGACGTTGCTTAACTTTGGTGATCGCATCGGAACTGTTGTTTCAACGCGATACGGCCGTCTTTTTCCATCCTCTCTTTTTTCTCCTCTCTCTCTCTCTCTCTCTCTCTCTCTCTCTCTCTCGATAAGTTTTCATTTCATCTGCTTTCCTTTTCTTTTATATATTCATAAGGAAAACTACATTCTTGTAATCCAATAAATATGTACATATAATATAGATAGATAGGTACAAATTTAATATATATATCTATACATGTGTGTGTGTTATATATATATATATATATATATATATATATATATATATATTATATGAACATAGACGTCAACACTTAGAGGCGACAGTCTGTTTCATTCTATATGCAATCGTCAGGCCACTACATATATATATATATATATATATATATATATATATATATATATATATATATATATATATATATATATATATTGCATATAGCATGAAACAGACTGTCGCCTCTAAGGGTTGACTTCTATGTTCACTTTTTATATTTACACACGCTCTATCTCTGATATTGAGCACTTTATCCCATAAATATAGCACACCTTAAGACTATATTTCTTCATATATATATATATATATATATATATACATACATATATATATATATATATATATATATATATATATATATATATGTATATATGTATTCATGTTTTTGTTTTTGTGTGTATATATATATATATATATACAAAAATTTCGCCATGAAGATTGCGTTCAAGCACAAACCAGTTGCTATCAATCGGTGTTTACGTTAGTGACGATTTCTATATTTACCCATTTTATATATAGATCAGATATCGATCACTTTTACTCAGAAATATAGAATACCATGAAATATATTTTTATCATACAAGCTCACACACACAGACACACACATTCATGCACACACACACAATATATATATATATATATATATATATATATATATATATATA